CTCAGATCATGGTATCCTGGTCCTGGGATCGAGCCCCTCATCAGGCTCTCTGCTCAGCAGGGAGCCTGCTTCCCCTTCTCTCTGTCTGCCTCTCTGCCTACTTGTGATCTCTGTCAGATAAATAAATAAAATCTTAAAAAAAAAAAAGAAAGAAAGAAAAGAAAAGAAAACTTTCCAGAATAAACAATGTTGGGAACGGAAGTTTTCTGCAGCCCACCCAGAAAAGCAATTTAGATTTCCTCTCAGAGATAATACAAAGAGAAATGGGATGAAATTTCCCCCAGGCCAGACTCTTTCAAACGTGACGGGTGAGAAGGAGCTGGAGGAAAATATAGAGGAAGGACACAGCTTTATTTCTTCCAAGACGTTCAGATTGGCGAGTATTTAAGACTATGACAACTGTTTACGACAGAGCAGATAAACAGACACGCACACAGTGTTGACAAGTGCAGACTGACCCAACATCCAGAGGGTAATTTATCATGATCAGAATGACACACCCCCTTGACCACGAAATTCTATTTAAAAAAAAAAACTTATATTTCACGTAACACAGTATATCCAAAGACACTCCACCCTCAACAGTTCCCTCTCCTGAATCACACTCATTAGCATATTCTAAAGATAACAGAATCACTCAGTGGTTGTCCTGTCCCATAATCCTCTGCTCCCTTTCGTAATTCAACTTGCTGAACGGGGTCATGTCATTATCATGTCCACTTCCTTACTTCTCATTCTTTCTTGAACACACCCACCGTGGACTCCTATTCCCACCATGTGACTGAGCCTCGTGATCCTGTCAAGGTCATCAGTGTTCTCCATGAAGAGCACTGGCTCACTTCTCTGTTCGTATTTTATTCTACATAGTTGACCACTCCCTCCTGCACATCCTTGGCTTCCCTTCTTTGGCTTTTCTCTCTGCCCCAGTGGCCAGTCCTTTTCAATCTTCTTAAAAGACTCTTTTTCTGCTCAAAAGGTAAGTGCCAAGATACCCGCCTGGCTCAGTCAGTAGAGCGTGAGACTCCTGATCTTAAGATTGTGAATTCAAGCCCCAGGTTGGGTGTAGAGATTACTTAAAAATAAAATCTTTTTTTAAAAGGTGCAGCAGGGTGCCTGTGTGGCTCAGTCATTAAGTGTCTGCTTCTTCTGCTCAGGTCATGATCCCAGGGTCCTGGGACTGAGCCCCGTCCCTGGCTGTCTGCTCACCAGGAAGCCTGCCTATCCCTCTCCCACTCCCCCTGCTGCTAGGTGCTGATGGCTTGCCTGGAGCTCCCCATGGAGGCTGCAGGCTCGGGCAATGGTTTCTGCAGGAGGGGATGGCCCTTAAATCCAGTTGAGCCTACTCACTCGCCAATAAAGACAGAGCCGGGAAATACTCCACCAAATGACTGACTCATGGAGGCAAGAGCAGCCTACACCGGAGCCAGCTCAGACTCTCCTTAATAAAGACAAGGTGTGGAGAACCCCCGTCTCTGTGAGGTTCCTAGTCTTAAAAAAATGTGGGACTCATCTGTCAGAGGTTTTTATTTCTTTCTTCTTCAGAACTGGGGGTGGATGACACATGCCTGACTAGTGGAATCAAAAACTTCTCTCGTAAAGACAACATCTAAACTCTGCAGCACAGAAAGACGACTTTGATCAGTAAGACTGGGGGAAGCAGTGACAAAATTTACCTTTGATTCTGTTAACATAGTCCAATCCTCCCAAGGGCCTCCAGTGAGTTCAAGTTCCAGGAAGAAAGTTATAATCACTGAACTAGGCATACTGATGAGATTACAGCCCCAGGATTTATGAAATCTTGGTGATCAGGAAATCAGTTAGTCTGAAACTGCTGCTATGAACGACAAAAGTGACACCCAGAAAATATCCATAAAACAACTCCAAACCAGGCAGTTAAGCATTCTTGCCTGCACAAATCCACATTCACTTTAAGACCACCCTCTTAGGGGTGCCTGGGTGGCTCAGGGGTTAAGTTACTGCCTTTGGCTTAGGTCATGATCTCAGGGTCCTGGTGATCTCAGGGTCCTGGTTCAGGCTCTCTGCTCAGCGGAGAGCCTGCTTCCCCCACTCTCTCTCCCTGTCTCTCTACTTGTGATCTCTGTCAAATAATAAATGAAATCTTAAAAAAAAAAAAAAGAAAGAAAAGAAGATGGCCCTTTTAATTTGAATGGAGCCAGTGGAGTTTGTAAGATTTAAATTTGCAGATGATTTAAAAATGTGGACCCCACTGCCTGGATGGGCCAGTCAGTTAAACGTCTAACTTGTGGTTTCGTCTCACAGGCAGTAGGACTGAGTGTCCCTGCTCAGCGAGGAGTCTGCTTGAGATTGCTTTCTCCCTCACCCCCACTCCGTGCCTCCCCCTGCCTGCTGGCATGCACAGCATCCTCTCTCTTAAATACATAAATAAATCTTAAAAAAAAAAAAAAAAGAAAAAAAGAAGTTTGATGAAAAATGAACCAACATCGACAACAACCTCTTCCTTAGGAAACTAACAATAATCACCCATACATGCAATACTACCTGGTCATTAAAAGTAATGAAAAAGGGTAGGTGGCTCAGTTGGTTAAGCATCTGACTCTTTATTTCAGCTCAGGTCATGATCTCAGGGGTAATGGGATTAAGCCCCGTGTGGGGCTCTGCACTCAAGTCTGCGAGTCTGCTTAAGGTTCTCTCCCTCTTCTTCTGCCCTTCCCCCAACTTATGCTTGCTCTCTAAATAAATAAATAAATAAATCTTTAAAAAATATATTTTAAAAAAATTAGGAAGATCCACATTAATGGATTTATAAGTTAACATGTGTGCACACGTTATATATTCATGTATTTAAGATATTTATTTATTTTTAAGATTTTATTTATTTATTTGAGAGAGACAGAGAGAGAGAGCATGAGCGAGGAGAAGGTCAGAGAGAGAAGCAGACTCCCCGTGGAGCTGGGAGCCCGATGTGGGACTCTATCCCGGGACTCCGGGATCATGACCTGAGCCGAAGGCAGTTGTCCAACCAACTGAGCCACCCAGGCGTCCCTAAGATATTTAATATATAATATTTAAGATATTTAATATAGAATATATATATTTTATAAATAAGTTACTATAAAAATTTGTTTTCTTTGGGAGATGAGAATGGGCATAGGTAGGAAAGAAAATTTTCATATCATATGTTCTTGTTCAGTTTAATATACCAGCATGTATGATAAAAATGAGTAATAAAGAAATGCAAATACCAAAGTAAGTTTTTCCACTGGATCAGTCCATACACTACCTGCAGGGCCCCTGTGAGCCATCTGCTTCTGCTTCCTTTTCTTCTGTGTCCACCACCTTTTTGCTTTCTTACCTGTAAAATGAAGACAACCCAAGCCTGCTATGAGACGCCAAGCAGAGCGTGCAGGGAAGGCAAGCGTATAAACAGGCACTGAAAGGGGAAAGGGGGTGGAGCAGAAATGACATCTCGTCAGCAGTCAGAGAGTAACAGTCACAGTGCTCCATGATATTTACGAGTGCATACATGTGCTGAACGCTTAATCCTTGTACCTCTATAAGGAAAACTCCGTTATCCTCATTTTACAACTGAGAAACTAAGGCACAGGGAAGGATCTTCCCTTAGCTCATGAAACAAACTTTGAGGGGGTCAGACATCAGCTCTGTTTCTCCATGAGGCTATGCTGCTTCCATACAAATTAGGACAGTAAGATTCTGTTTCTAGTCAGATTAGCAAAATTGTAAAAGACTGACAGACTAAATATGGATGAGCATTTCAGGAAACAGGTGCAAATGTACTATTTTGATTGAAATATAAATTACTGAAGGCAATTTGGCAAGAGTTACCAAAATTTAAAATGGTAATCTGACTTCTGACCTGGTCATTCCACTTCTAGGAACTTATCCTACAGAAATACTCACAAACATGTCTACACAGATGTCCAGTGCAGCACCGTTTTAATAACAACAACAATAACAATAAAAACAAAAAGAGAGAGACTTCAGGAGACATTGCTAGGGGAATGGCTAAATACATCTTAATATAGCCCCAAATTAGAGTCTGTATCCATGAAAAATGGAGGTCAATGAACAGACAGTGAATGGAAGAAATTCTAAAACGTTATGTGAAAACAACTGTCATCAAGCAATATGTACTATATTGGCGCTATTTACCTAGGAAAATATGGCGTGAGCATCACATTGCTTTTTATAGGAGTGATGCTGGGGCTTCCCTTTTCCCACACCCTCCTTTAAAAAACCCACAAAACACACAACTCAAAAATAAGTTGTAAAAAAGGAAGGGTCATGTGTTATGTATAAATCAATCATTACAATGAGATTATTTCCAAAAATTCACAAATACAAGTTATATAAATTCAGTTTGGAATCCGTAGCCCCTAAATATATTACAAATCACATCTCTTTCGCATTCTTTTCCAAACAGATGTGGCTCAAATATAGTGAAGGCATTATAATTTCGTATTTGTAGCAAGTGAAAAAAAAAACTGACAATAAATAATTCAACTATAATTCTAGAAAACACTAAGTGGTAAAATCCCCTCTTACTCTGAAACCATCTATATCTCAGAACACCTGAAGATTGAGTCGATATAAAGTTACACGAACTTTGTGTTTCCACATTTAAAATCTCCAATGTATTCTCACAGAAGAGACACACAGCAGTTTGCTTCTCCCTTGGGACCCAGACCTGCAGTTCTCAAACCTGGGTGAGCCCGAGTGTGCGTGGCAGAACCCTGTTAAAATGCAGTTACCTCAGACCCTGAGCCCTCTCATTCCTGAGTCTGATGAACCTCATTTTTAAACAAGATCCACAGGAGGTGTAGAAGAACCCCAGTGAATGCACTAAGTCTACAGTCCAATCCTAACCGCTGCCCCTGGTTGGAATGGAAGCGACCCTGACTCGCGTAGCTTCTTCACCTCCTCACTTTCCTCATCTGTACAGTCAGTCCCTTGATCTGCTCATCTCAGAGGACACGGAAGCTCCCACATGGCTTTAACGTTCTCCTACGAACTGTGCCTTCACGTCAGCACTAGTAAGAACTAGTGGCCCTGAGCTGTTTTCTCACTGCCTTCTGAGAAGTCTGCTTCTGTTAGTTCCATTTCCGGAAGCACCTGAGGAGAGGAATTCTGAAACTGCCATCTTGGTTGATTTGGGAGACTTCCCTCATGCTAACAGGGAAGCTTCTAGCCATCCTCAGAGGTGCTCCATATACATGGTATGTGGTGAGATCCACTGGGTCAGAGAACAACAGAAACACACCGGTACATTAAGCAGGCTCCAACCCCCCCGTGGTTTTACAGAGACGCTGAATAACTCAGTAAGAGGTCTTAACACTGGTTGAACTCGAAGAGTAAGAGCTGGACTTCCTGGAGAACTTCTGTGACGTGAGGGATATCTGCATCTGCCGCACAGTACGGACACTTCGACAGAGGAGCGCGTTCTTCACATGATCCCTGAAGTCTTGGGAAACAAAGTAATAGACGAAGGGGTCAATGCAGCTGTTGAGCGTGGAAAGACAGAGGGCTAAAATGTACACGGCATAGACGTGGCTCTGGCTCCTGGTTTTAATCAGGAAATAATGGGCCACAAGCAGAAGGTTACTAGGAGTGAAGCAGATCAGGTAGGTAGCCAGGACGGTGACAATGAGTTTGATGGCTCTCTGCCTCTTCTTTTCCGAGTTTTCATCCATCTCAGAAGACCGGAGTGTTCGGATCATCAGCACATAGGCAGAGGCTGTGAGGAAGGCTGGGAACAGAAAGACTCCGATGGCCAGAGAGAGGAAATAATTGAACATGTCCCCTACCAACACCTCCTCAGGCAACACATCATGGCAGGTTGTGATGTTAAGGGCTGGAATGTACACAGTCTGCCTTACGACATACAAGGGGATGGTGACCAGCAGAATCAGAAGCCATATTCCCAGCGAGAGCCCAAAGGCAATGTTTGCCTTCTTCCTGGGGTGCACCAAGGGATTCACAATGACCCAATACCTCTGCACACTGAGGCAGGTCATGAAGAGAATGGAACAGTACATGTTGCCATAGAAAAAGCCAATGAGTACTTTGCAAAGAGCTTCCCCGTAAATCCAGTTGTTGCCATGTATGTGATATGCAATCTTCAAAGGGAACCAGATCACAGAGAGGAGGTCTGCCAAGGCTAGATTGGCCATGTAAACCACAGCAGGGTGCTTCTTCCTCGTTCGGAAAAGAAAGACCCACAGAGCCATGCCATTACTTGGCAAACCAATCGCAAATACAATTGTGTAGACAACTGGAAGAAAGACGGTGGTCAGTTTTCCAGTGAGGACGGAGGCAGCAAACTCATCCACAGAAAAGCCTGGTTCCACGGTAACTCCTTTCCCAGTGATCTGAGAGGAGCTCTCAATCTTACCAATGAGACTTCTTCCTTTGGAGGTTCTATTGGTTCCTATACAAAAAAGGCAAGGCAGACAAGGGTCATTACAGGGATTACTCTTTCAGCAGTAATGGTTTAAATAAAAGTACTTCAGGGGCTCCTGAGTGGCTCAGTTGGTTAGGTGTCTGCCTCTCGGTTTCCACTGAGGTCATGATCTCAGGGTCGTTGAGACTGAGCCCTGCCTTGCTCTATGCTCAGTGTGGAGTCTGCTGGAGATTCTCCTCCCTCTCCTCCTCTTCTCACCCTCAACCACTTGCATGTGCTCTCCCTCTCTCAAGTAAGTAAATAAAATCTTTAAATAAAAGTACTTTAGGGGCGCCTGGGTGGCTCAGTGGGTTAAGCCGCTGCCTTTGGCTCAGGTCATGATCCCACTGGGATCGAGCCCCATATCAGGCTCTCTGCTCAGCAGGGAGCCTGCTTTCCTCTCTCTCTCTGCCTGCCTCTCTGTTAAAAAAAAAAAAAAAAAAAAAGTACTTTAGACAAAGACAAGAGTATACAAAAGGCTTACAAGTGCTTTCTTCAGGTGATGGGATTATTGGGTTTTGTTTCTTTGTTTTTACAATTTTTTTTTTTTTTATTGGAAGGTTGTAGGATACATGTGAAATAGAACATTGATTTCCAGGACTCAAAAGAAGCTGAGTATTTCAATTTATTTTTTTATAAACTATCCACAGTTACTAGCTCCTAACTGTTGTTACAATGGCCATCTCTCTCCGGCTATGAGACAGGATTCAGCCTGGCCAGTCATTCCCTCTCCCAAAGTCTGACACAGGGAGATTTCCAGGAGCACAAGGGACATTCCCTCTCTACCCACAAGGACAGTGCAAGCCATGGGCAGGGATTCCCCTGCTTCTGTGTGGGCCTCCTGGAAACCTTCCTATGGAGGCCAGCTGGCAGGCAAGTCTTCTGACCTCAGGGTCACTGAACATGTCAGTGCACTATTTATATTCAGTCAAATCTCCGACTTTCAAGCAAGTACCCACAATTTATGCTGTCATCTCCGTATCTGCATTAAACTTTAGAAACCACACACAAATGGCATACCCAGCCTACATCCTGCCTAACCAAGTGTTCATGGAGGGAGGGCGCATGGGTGGCTCAGTCAGTTAAGTGTCTGCCTTTGGTTCAGGTCATGACCCAAGGGTCCTGGAACCAAGCCCCACATTGGGCTCCCTGCTCAGAGAGGAGTCTGCTTCTCCCTTTCCCTTTCCCCCTCCTTGTGCTGTCTCTCCTCTCTCTCTCTAATAAAGAGGACTGGAAGGAAGGAAGAGAGGGAGGGGAAAAAAGGATCTTTGGGGGGCAACTGGTGGCTCAGTCAGCTGAGCATCTAACTCCTGATTTCTGCTCAGGTCAGGATCATAGGGTCCTGAGGTCAGTCCCACATCAGGCTTTGTGCTCAGTGGGGAGTCTGCCTGAGATTCTCTTTCCCTCTCCCTCCACCTCTCCCCTCCTGCTTGTGTACTCCTGTGTGCTCTCTCGCAAATAAATAAATAAATAAATAAATAAATAAATAAATAAAATTCTTCTCTTAAAAAAAACAAAAGGATATTCATAGACATAATTAAGGATCTTGAGACAAGAACACCATTCTGGATTATCTAGGTGGGTCCCGAATCTAATGACAAGTGTCTTTATAAGAGAAAGGCAGGGGGAGACTTGAGAAAAACAGAAGACAAGACCAAAAGGAGAAAACCTTATGAAAATGGAGGCAGAGGCTGGAACAATGCTGAGGAACAAGCCAAGGAATGCCAAGCAAAACCAACCATGAGATGCTGGAAAAAACGGAACAGATTCTCCCCGAGTCTTCAGACGTGCCAATGCCTTGAATTCAGACCTCTGCCCCCCAGAACTGTGAGTGAATAAATTTCTATTGCTGAAAGCCACCAGCTAGTTGCTACTGTTACAGCAGCCACAGGAAACGAAGCACTTAGGATATGCCCAATTCTCGTTCTATCGAATGTCTCTCACAATGCTTTAAGAAGAATATTAATTATTTTTAAATTAAAAATAACAAAATATTGGGGTGCCTGGGTGACTCAGTTGTTAAGCATCTGCCTTCAGATCAGGTTATGATCCCAGGATCCCGGGATCGAACCCCATGTTGGGCTCCCTGCTCAGCGGGAAGCCTGCTTCTCCCTCTCCCTCTCCCCCTGCTTGTGCTCCCTCTCTTGCTGAGTCTCTCTCTGTCAAATAAATAAATAGTATCTTTAAAAAATAAACATAAATAAATAAAATAAAATATTGCTACACATTACAGTATTCCTCAGATACTTGATTAAAACCCACAGTAAAAAAAACACCCAGGGACACGTGGGTGGCTCAGTCGGTTAAGCGGCTGCCTTCGGCTCGGGTCATGGTCCTGGGTTCCTGGGATTGAGCCCCACATCAGGCTCACTGCTTGGCAGGGAGCCTGCTTACCCCCTCCCTCTGCCCCTGCTTGTGTTCTCTCTCTGTCTCTGTCAAATAAACAAATCTTTAAAAATTAAAAAAATAATTAAAAATTTAGAAAAGGGGGAAACAACCCAAAAGTTCATCAATGGATGAATGGATAAACAAAACGTGGTATATGCATATAATGGAATATTAGTTGTCAATAAAAGAAGTAATGATACATGCTACAACCCGAGTGTGGAGTGCCTGGATTCACTATAATCTACTTTCAGATGTTTAAAACTCTCCATAGTATCAAGCACATAAGGTCAGGAGCTTGATGTAAAGAGATCAAATTTTGTTTTAAGTAAGAATACTAAAATAAAGGGGGGGGGGGAAAGCCAAAAAATGCTTTAAAAAAAAAGAAAAGGAAGGAGGGATTGAGAGCAATTTCCTGAGAATATTCTAAAATATGTCCTTGAATTGTCTCAATCAAAAACAGCATTCTTGTTAACTGTATGTACTGTACTGGTCACAGAGCACAAAAATAGCATGCTGTTTAACACTAGTGAACATCAAGATGCTACTCAAAGATCCTTAGAGGCCTTTCAGCATAGTGCACAGATGTTTACCCCATGCAATGCTCTGTACCAGTCACCGAGACTCACAGAACTTGTCTAGAACTGATACTATCCCAGCTCCCAATTATCTATCTACCTACCTACCTACCCATAACCTCCCACCTGTAAACAGGGTAAAATCATTTTTTTTTAGATATTATTTATTTGAGATAGAGGGAACCCATGCATGAGTGAACAGGGGGAGGGAGATGGAAAGGGAGAGAATCCTGAACAGACTATGCACTATGCGATGGGGGTCTCAATCCCACGACCCTCAAATCATGACCTGAGCCAAAACCAAGGGTCAGATGCTCAACAGACTGAGCCACCCAGGAGCACCCCCCCACCCCTTGGTAAAATCATTTCTATTTCATAGTGGGGAAAAAATTAAATGCACATATGAATTCTGAACACATATGAAGGACTGGGTATAAAAGCATCTCCATTTATGGGCTGTAATCAATAGCATTTGCCCAAGTATGCAAGAATACCTACCTGCCAATACTCAAGGCAGCATTCCCCACCCCCACTGCAACAGGAAATAAACAATGTTCATCAGCCTCTATTCCTAATTTACCAAATCCCCAGATGGTCCCTAACATTAATAGTAGGTGCTCTACCTATCTTTGAAATGCAAAAATAACTGCACTTTACTGTCGACAGAAAAAAGCAACTGACAGAACAATATGCTCCCATCTGTGTAACAAAATATACATTTATATGCAACATCTGAAATCTAGAGGGATATCCACCAAAGTATAAAAAGCCATCTCTGTGGAGTAAAGTGGGTGGGGAAGGGAGAACTTTCCTTTTTTTCTTCACATGCCTCTACATTGTTTGAATTTCTTTGTCAAAGGAATGTAAACTGGTACAATCTTTTTGGAGGTCAACGTGGCAAAACAGGAAAATTTAAAGTGTACTTGCCCCAGGACCTATCAACTTAGTTATAGAAATTTGCCCTGCACATATACTAGCTAACGTGCACAGAAATACTGAACGTACAAGAATATTTACTGCACTATTGTTTATCCTAACAAAACAAAAATGTTAGTCTCAACAACCATTAAAAAGAAGACCAGTTTGGGGTGCCTGGCTGGCTCAGTCGGTAAGGCATGCAACTCCTGATCTCTAAGTCATGAGTGTGAGCCCCACAATAATCACAAAGATTACTTAAAATAAATTATAAATTAATTAAAAATTAAATTAAAAAAATTAAAAGGAGATTAGTTCAGTAACTTATGACATTTATAAAATGAATAATATTCTCCCCTATAAAAGTATGGACAGATTTCCCTACAGTGACCATGAGCAGGTAAGTTTAGAAAAATAACTGTTGCAGGGTATATACAATAAAATCCTTCTACTGTTACAAAATTTATATTATTTGTCCATAGAAGTCGGCTGAAACTGGAGAGGAGAGAGAATGGGGGATTTTTCACCTTTTTAAAACAATTCTGGTTTACTTTCAAGAAAAATGTATGAAAAACTTTTAACTTTGAAACTACTACCTGTGGGGCGCCTGGGTGGCTCAGTCAGTTGAACATCTGACTAGGCTTCAGCAGAGGTCATGATCTCAAGCTTGTGAGATCCCGCTCTGCACTCATTGCTTAAGATTCTCTCTCCCGCTGCGCTGCCCCCATTCTCTTAAATACATATATAAATCTTGAAACTACTACTTTCTCTTTGCTATTTGAAGCATTCTTCTGTGGCCCTCCCCTCCCACCAAACCACAAGTACTGAGCAAGTATTTTATTTGTGTTAACTCTCTCTCCCCTTGTATCCTTTTCCCTCACCCCAAATCTATTTGCTTTCAACCTCTGGGAACATAGGCTGAAAACGAAAAGCTTCAAATACCAGCGGATCCTGCCCCCCCAACCACCCCAAGTACACATTAATAAATTTTCATTTGTTCTTTCGGGATGAGCTGTTTTCGTCTCAACACTTGCCTAGCTAATAAAACCGTAAGAAAGTCAAACGCAGACTTGACCAAAACATCATCTATCCAGGTTAATTAGTAACTATGCACAAGGCAAGCAAGAAACCAAACACAAATTTAGAGTCCCATCTTCACATTTATTATAATATTTCTCTCTTACTACAAAACACCAGAAATACCCAATGCATCTATTAACAGAAGACTAATTTAAAAATTATTGTAAATCCTCCTAGAACATACTATAGAATTTTAAAATGTTTTGCTGTTTTTTTTTTTTTTTTTTTTTTTTATTTAGGGGCACCTGGGTCGCTCAATCAGTTAAGCAGTTGCCTTCAGCTGGGGTCATGACTGCGCCATCCCGAGATCAAGCCCCACGCTGGGCTCCCTGCTCAGCTCAGCTGGGAATCTGCTTTTCCTTCTGCCCCTACCCTACTCGTGCTCTCACTCAATAAAATAAATAAATAGAATATTTTTAAAAAGATAAATATTTATTTATTGGGGAGAGGGCTCCACGAGTAGGGGGAGGGACAGGACCAAGTCTTGGGGCTTGATCCCATGATCCATGAGATCACAACCTGAGCCAACACCAAGAGTCCACAGCCTAACAGACTGAGCCCACCCAGGTGCCCCACAAAAAGATTTTCGGGTAAGTACGTATTTTATGCATGGATGTATGATGTCAGCAGTGGTTTACTTTGGGTACTGAAAATGATTTTTTTTTAAATATTTTGTTTATTTATTTGACAGAGAGGAAGACAGTGAGAGAGGGAACACAAACAGGGAGTAGGAGAGGGAGAAGCCAGCTTCCCGCTGAGCGGGGAGCCTAACATGGGACTTGATCCCAGGACCCTGGATCATGACCTGAGCCAAAGGCAGAAGATTAACGCCTGAGCCATCCTGGCGCCCTGAAAATGATTTTTTTTTAAAAGATTTTTATTTATTTATTTGAGAGAGAGAGCACAGGGAGCCCGATTCAGGGTTTGATCCCAGGACCCTGAGATCATGACCTGAGCCAAAATCAGACCCTTAAGCAACTGAGCCACCCAGGGCTCTGAAAATGATTTTTTTTTTTTTTTAAAGTAGGCTCCACACCAAGCATGAAGCCCAAAGCAGGGCTTGAACTCAGTACCCTGAGATCAAGACCTGAGCTGAGATTGCGAGTCAGGCACTTAACGAAATGAGCCACCCAGGTGCCCCTGAGTACTGAATATGATTTAATTAAACTTTTCTTTTTCAAAACATTTTTTTTGTGGCATGCCTGGGGTGGAGCCTTCTTAGGATTCTCTCTCCCTCCCTCTCTACCCCTCCACACAACTATGCTCATTATTGCTCTGCAGAACGTGTCTAGATCACATACTACTTGTGTAATTCATAATCAGTTACAAAGAGAACAGAACTTTCAGGCTCCAAAAGAAAAACAAATGCATCACAGGGGAATTCCCAGGCTTGTGACATGGCAGAAAGAAATAAGCACCTAGGGGCGCCTGGGTGTCTCAGTCATTAGGCGTCCCCCTTCGGCTCAGGTCATGATCCCAGAGTCCTGGGATCAGAGCCCTGCATCAGGCTCTCTGCTTGATGGGAAGACTGCTTCTCCTTCTTGCACTCCCCCTGCTTGTGTTCCCTCTCTGCTATCTCTCTCCGTCAAATAAATAAATACAATCTTAAAAAAAAAAAAAAAAAACAGTAAATGCCTAAAACAACCTGATGTAAATCCCCAACCGCTACCACCCTACGCAGCCACTCTGGGCAAACCCACTCACTCCATTCCTCTTTTGGTATTTACTGAGCTCCTTTAGATATGAGACTGTGCTGGACTATGGTAGTAATGATGACACTAGGGTCCCTGGCCTCCCAGAGTTTATTATCCAATGTGGAGACAAATTAAATGTATTTACACAAACAACTGTCAATTACTGTTGGGACAAGAATGCAAATGGAGTGTCTTCCCTACCTCCACCCCAATTTCGTGGCCCCCGTCTGTAAAATGAGAAGGGTGTATCTTTGGTGGAGTTGCCCTCCCGGAGTCAGTCCACAAAAAAGAAAACTGAGAAGAAAATCTAACCTAGTATCTGCCCTGTAGGAAACTGAGGAGCATGCATAGCGGTCAAACTATGAAGGGTTGAGCAAAGAAGTATACTAAGGGCAGAAAAACCTTGGGATGCTCTATTTCTCAATCATACTCCATTGAGAAAAGCTCCACCTACCTTAATGTCTGTCACTTTACCAACCCTTTAGGAAAGTTACTATGCAAAAGGAACAAAAGTTTGTGGAGGGAAAAACAAAAACAAAAACAACCCTCAAGGAGCAATATTAAATAGTTCTGGTTAACAAGTAACTTGGTTTTGTTGTTGCTGTTGTTAAACAAGTTCACTATATTCTCCAGGAACCAGTGCACACCCCACAACTCAGTCCTCCCAATTTGTAAACAGTAAGTCAAATATTCAGGGCTCTCTTCCTCTATGAACTGTCTGAATCAGAAAAGCATTCAGTCATCTACACCTACATATTTTTTTTTTAATGTTTTCACATCCTTAGTTTTGCCCCGGAATTTTAAGGGTCCAACTTTAAAGCCAAAGAATTTTTTTTTAAGATTTTTTTTTTTTTTTTTTTTTTTGACAAAGATCACAAATAGGCAGAGAGGCAGGCAGAGAGAGGGAGAAGCAGGCTCCCCGCTAAGCGGAGAGCCCCATGCGGGCCTCGATCCTAAGACCCTGGGATCATGACCTGAGGCGAAGGCAGAGGCTTTAACCCACTGAGCCACCCAGGCGCCCCTAAGGGTCCAACTTTAAAAGACAGAGGCAAATCGCAAAGTGTTCACCACAGTTTCAATGTTCCTGGTAATAAACGAATGCCTTCACTCTAACGCTGACCAATAAAATGTATACAGTGGTGCAGTTTTCAAGTATATATAACATCCTTTTCTATAACTCCAGAGAAAGAAGGGTCACATTCTTCGGTCTAATTCATAATTCAAACCGACAGTGATTTGCTCTTTTACAATGTTTTTACGAAGAAGATAAAAAGTGACCCGCCTTTTACAGCAGGTCTGCAAATTTCGCTGGGAAATGAAAACCTCCCTTTTAAGGCTACTCTGGCAGCTCCAAACAGCCAGCCAGCCGTTAGCAACGCAGTAGCGTGATTCCTGCCGAGGAACCCCCAGGCCCGCAGAGGCCTGCTCAGCCGGGAGGACAGGCTGGAGCACACCCCGCGCAGCACAACTGGGGAAGCCAGCAGCCCCTGCACAAGTCAGCACCGCCCGGCCGCTCCCGTGCCGCTCCGTGTTCCACTCCCGGAGCTGGCATCCTCGTCCGTAAACACCTGAGTGCCAGCCAAAGTATGCTACATGTGGCACACAAAGGCCCGAAAGCCGGGGCCGTAAGATCACCTAGCCGAATAGAAGGCACAGCCCAGGAAGTCCCATTTGTAAAATCCGCGCGACGCGCAACTTGTCTAAAACTCGAGGCTGAGCGCTCATTGAGCCCAAGACCAACGGGGTCCAGCCCTTCCAGACCTGGGGCATCCACAGTGCCGGAGGAGCTCTGCGCCCCACCCCCCGGAAAGTTTGGAACTACGTGAGCCCACCCCGAAGACGCGGTTCCAAAAGCCCAAGGGGGGTCGCAAAAAGCGACACAGGGCGCCTGGGTGGCTCGGTGGATTAAACCTCTGCCTTCGGCTCAGGTCATGATCCCAGGGTCTTAGGATCGAGGCCCGCATGGGGCTCTCTGCTCTGCGTGGAGCCTGCTTCCCCTCTCTCTGCCTGCCTCTTTGCCTACTTGTGATCTCTCTCATTGTCAAATAAATAAATAAAATCTTCAAAAAAAAAAAAAAAAACACGCGACACAGACGTTTCTCAGGCCTCGGGCTCTCACCCATTCCACACCGCTCCGAGCCAACTAACTCCAAAGGGTCCTGAGGGGCCAGCCCCGCAGTAGTGGCGGAAATCTTAGTTTACAAAGAAGCCAACCAGGGGGCAGGGAGGCTGAGCCCATTCCCTCCTTCTCCCTCCGCGGGCCGCTGCCTCTCCAGGATGTCCTAGCCAGTAAGCCCGCCCGGCGCAGGGATCCCCATCGAAGTCACCTAGAGGTGGATGCGGAAAGTGGTGGCAGCGGCAGCAGGACACCCTTCGCGCACCTGCCCGCTTCCACCACCTGCCAGTGTGCCTTGGACCCCTGCTCCTTAACTACAGGAGCCCTCCCTGACCAATTTCTCACCTTGGATGGGGTGACTGCAGGAGACGGAGGCCGCCAGCAGGATGGCGCCCCCCAGCAGCCACGCCGCGCTCATGCCTCGCATCCTTCCTGCAGACCCGACGTCGGGCGGACAGGGCACTAGCCGGCAGTGATTCGAAACTCGGAGTCCCACTCGCCGCTCCGCGAGGGAGCCGCGGTCTCACCTGCACCAATCCAAGTCTCTCCTGGCGCCTCCCGGGAGCCGGGTAAGTTTCAGTGAAACCCGAGCCGCTCGGCGCACCTGCGCGAGGCCACGCCCCCGGGCCGGGACGCACGGCTCTGCCCCGCCTCTCGAACGCCCCGCGCGGGAGTCCGGCTCCCGGCTGTCTGGCCCGGCTTGCGAGCCTCCACCTACGCGCTGCAGGTGCTCAGGCCGCGGGCCAGAGGGTGCGGGAGCCGCCGGCGGGCGGGGCTGGGCGGGTGAAGTAGCTGTATTGGAATGCAAATGACAGAAGCGCTGGGACCGCGAGTTCTCACAGACCCGGCCCCGCCCAGAACTACCATTACCCTTTAATTACTCTTGTCGAACGAGGGTCTTCCGTGTCTTTCCTTCCCCTTTGTTAAATGGGAAAAAGTCAAGGCCCCAACTCACGGACTTCGTCATTGGTTAATTGGTAGAGGCTTCCCAGTGTAGCGAGCAATGGGGGGATAAGGGGTGAGTTTGTTGGATTTTTTTTTTTTTTTGTATGCTTTATTTTGTTTTGTAGGGGTGACTTTTTAATCTGCAAAGACATGGTGGATGGCTGCGGACACCAGCAAAAGCAGTGGGGAGCAGGAAGGAGTACCGGCCAGGGGTTAAGGATCAGAAATTATGTTTCCGCTCAGCTGTTAACTAGCTGTGACCTCTAACAAACCTCTTCACCTCCCTTCTAGGCCCATGTTCACGCCCGGTGAGGTGAAGCGGGCGGGGTGATAGTTGGGACAGCTACCTGAAATGCCAAGAGCTAATGATTTGGAACACTAGTTTAATACCGACCGCAAGCCGCGCATTAAGTATGCTTATTATTCCCAATTTATAGATGAGGAAGTGGAGTTCAGACAGGTTGGATAAATTACCCACAGTTACACAGTTTATAGGCACAGTTTGTAAACACACACCACAGTTAATCTCTAATCTATGACTGCCATTTTCTATTAATCACTGCACTCTAAATGCTTCGACCAGGGTCTCCCCCGCAGTGGGATCTGGTAGCCCAAAGAAATATGTAAGAAGGTAAAGGGGGTGGGGAGAAAAGGAGCAAGAGTTTGGGGATGGGTGCACAAGGGCCAGCATCATAATGTAATAAAAAAGTAGTACTTTTTACTTGCTTTGAAAGGATAAAGTAAATAAATAATAAACTTTAAAGTTCCCCAATAAACTACTGGGTGATGGAGGAGCAGAAAACAGAAACAGTATTGTCTTCAGATGTTTGAAGAATTAGGTCATAGAAGAGGATTAGACAGGTTTTGAGTTTTTCTGAGAGCGGAAATATACGGTAGCCACAGTGGGAGACTGATTGTGCCTCAGTACAGAAAGATTTCTTTCTTTTTTTTTTTTTAAGATTGTATTTATTTATTGACAGAGACAGTGAAAGCGAGAACACAAGCAGTGGGAGAGGGAGAAGCAGGCTCCCCGCTGAGCAGAGAGCCCGTTGTGGGGCTTGATCCCAGAACCCTAGGATCATGACTCAAACTGAAGGCAGACACTTAACAACTGAGCCACCCAGGTGGCCCAAAGAGATTTCTAGCAAGTCCCCCTGGTCACAGTCCTGAGAGCTGCCTGCTGAGACAGAGGGCCACATCACGGCAGGACTTGCAGCAAAGGACCAGGGCGTCCGTGTGGCACGTTGGAGATGGGAGCTCCCTCCCAGGGTGAGGGGCCCGGGCTGGATGAGTCTAGACAGCCTCTTGAGAGGCTTGAGCCACCATTCTGCTTAGAGGACTAAAGTTTGGTCAATCAGTTAGTTGCTGGTGACTATCGTAAATTTTTGAACAACCATAAACCAAATGGCCACAGACCTGTAAGGACCCTCTGTGACTTCTTACTGATCCCAATGAGAACTAATGTGGGCTCCATATAATTCAGGCAGACAAAATTGTATAAAATATCATGTTAGTCGTTTGTTCCAACCATATCCCTAATAAGACATTTCTCAAGTTACCTACATGGATGGTTAGCATTCTGCTTTTCCCCTGGTCCTCACAGAGGAACTTGCAAGAGTAGGGAAATAAATGGTTGAAAACCAAGAGGAGCAAATGGCCTTGAACCTGCCATTAGAATGGAATAATTGCTCCCTGAATAACAGAAATGGACTGCCTCTCAATACACATACAGCCAAGAATGGCCAGGGAAGACTGTACAGAATTCATTCATTCATTCTTGCTTTCTTTCTCTTTCTTTCTTCTTTCACCTTCCTTCCTTATTTCCTTCCTTCCTTCCTTTTTAAGGTCCTTTTTGTGAGGGAGACAGAAGAGACAGAGCAGGGGTGGGTAGGAGCAGAGGGAGGACAAGCCAGCGACTTGCTGAGCAAAGAACTCCACACAGGACTCGATCTCAGGACGCTGAGATCATGACCTGTACCGAAACCAGGAGTCAGACTCAACTGTCTGAGCCACCCAGGCGACCCCAGAATTCTTTTCACTGGCTGCCTTTCAGTAATGCATCTCTAAGAACCTCTCATTTGTTCTACCTCCAGTTTTCTGGGGAATGTGGTAAGAGCTTAGCACTGAGATCATATAACTGTGGGGAAATTCTGCTTTCTCCCCTTGCTAACATTTATGTGACCTTAGAGAAATTACTTACCCTCTCTAAGCTTTAGGTTCTTTACCTATAAAATGGAGTCAATATCTTTTTAGTTTAAAGGTGACTGAGGATAAAATAGTGATCATGTTTGATGCCTGGTGAAAGCTCAACAGATAGGCTATTTGTTTCCTTCTTTTCTCTCTGCAGTCTCCTTTACACCCTCAATCCCCAGCCTATCTCTCAGGAGGCTGCCTTCCAAGGCCACTTGCCTCAGCCTATTCCCTCATGCCCTCCCAGGAAAAGTTGCCTTCTAGAAGTAGTGTAGGGGTCTTTCTCATCCTGTCCAGGGGACACGTCTCATGAAGATCAGTCCTCTCCTAAGAGTATCTCACTAGGGAAGATACTCAATCCATATAATGTTCCTTCAGTCTTTTCCCAGGCTCCATTTTGCTGTCTATAATCTGGGGATGTCCATAGTACCTTTCTTTTTTAATATTTTATTTATTTATTTGATTGACAGAGATCACAAGTAGGCAGAGAGGCAGGCAGAGAGGGAGGCAGGGGGGGAGGGGGGGAGCAGGGTCCCTGCTGAGCAGAGAGCCCGATGTAGGGCTTGATCACAGGACCCTGGGATCATGACCTGAGCCCAAGGCAGAGGCTTTAACCCACTGAACCACCCAGGCACCCCCTTAGTACCTTTCTTGTAGGATGGTTGTGAAGATTTATTTGCTAAATGCCCATAAATGCTTCTTAGCACAGTTCCTGGTGCAGAATAAATACTCAAAAGAGATTACTATAGAAGACTAGGCTAGGGAGAGAGTCTTCCTCTTTGCAGAGAACAATGCATAAAACTCCAGCTGTTCTGACTTAAATTTTCACTGGTATTTTATGTAAGTATGCCTTGAATCATCACTATTTCAAAGAAAATATTTTATTGAGCACTGATGAGTTATCTCATGAGTGTGTTTTCTCCCAACCGCCTAACTAAATGAACTGTATTACTTAAATCTGCAGCCGCATGTTTTCCAGTGATTTCTTTTTGGATGTTGATGACTTTTTTGCCCTGAAGGGTTTAGGGTACTATGTGGTGCTGTGGAATTGGACAGAGAAGTAAGCACGGCCAATCCAGATAGCCTGGCTTCCAGGGTTTGGGAAATTTGTGCAGTTTCCCACCCTCTACTGTTCTAAGGAAAATAAAGTAGGAAATGGGATAGGCCAGACACTGAGGGAGAAGCCATTTCATTCAATCCATTTTACAACCACTTATCAAACTCATCAAACTCTTGCTGGAGAAAAAAGATCTAGTCTTTGCACCTGGTTCCTGGCCAGATAATAAATGGTGGAAAAAGTTACATCCATTCACTCATGCATTGAGCAAACTCCAAACAAGGTTAGCAGTGACGTTCATTTGGTAAATCCTTTGCTCAATGCTGACTTCAAGTTCCTTAATCTAACTGTGAAATTTGACACGACTGAGTTCTTTCTGCTTGAATGCTATATACACTTGGCATCCAGGACCACTCTTGTCTTCATTCTCTTCCTACTCCTGGCAACTCATATGGAGTTGGTTCTTTTCAGCAGAGCCTCACTCACCTTCCTGAATTCTACACTCTGGAGTGCCTCTGATTTTGTCCTTGGACTTGTTTTCTTTTCAGTATACACTCATTTCCTTTGGTCATCTAATCCAGTCCTGCGGTTTTAAATACCATCTATACGCAGACAACTCCCAAATGTGCAATTCTAGCCCAGATTTCTCCATTCCAGGCACGTAACACACACCTCCAGCTCAACATCTCCACTTGCACCTGTCTATAGGCGTACCAGGCAAAAATCCAAATCTCAATTCCAGATCTACTCCGCACCTGTTAGAGTTTTCTCATCTCCTTAAACTGCACCTCGGTCCTTCCAGGTGTTCAGCTTAAAATCGTTGGAGTCATCCTTGACTTCTTTCCCATATTCCACATCTGATCTGTCAACAAATCATACCTTGAAAAAATACCCAAAATAGCATGCTGGTTTGAGTTACCATTGTTTCTTTTTCTTTTTCTTTTCTTTTTTTTTTTTTAGTATATGTGCTGCTGAAGTGAGCACGAGTTACCATTGTTTCTTACTTGGATTCTTGCAATAGCCTTGTGACTTGTTTCCTTCCCTCTGACCCTCTCACAGTCTCCTCCCAATATAGCTGTCAGAGTGAACCTATTAAAATGTGTATCAGATCAGATCACTTCCTTATTTCAAATACTGAAGTAGTTCCCCACTTCCCTCTGAGTACAAACCAAAGTCTGTCAAAAGTATACACGTCCTGCCTTCCTCCCCCATACACACACACACACAGACACATACACACACACACACACAGTCCCTTTTACTTCATCTCTTTTCTTCCC